AGAAAAACAGTTTTTTTCTAACTGAAAAATATATGGTTAAAAGATACTTTTGCCCTTTGTACTTCAGAGGCACTATAAAAGACCATTTACCAGTTTGCCCTGTGACAAGGTCAACGTCATGTTGCTATTAAACAACAAACTTATGTAATCTCAGGCCTTTTTTATATACTTATGTCAAACGATCTCTGTTTATATGGGTTATATCCACAATATCTACCATATTGGAAATCAAAATTGAAAAAAATCTTAGAAATTCACTTACCGAATCATTTAAAAATAACAATAATAAATACATTGCATCTGAACATTTTAATGAAAAATTAACATTATCCAAAAAATAAATAACTGAGATGTGTTACTGCTCTCCATTTTTGTAAATGTCTTCAACGTTTCATTTACTAGAAAGACAGCTAGAGTCTCATAGCTGATTTTGCATCCAAACTGCTGTGTTATGTTGTTTTGGCTGATGTATATGAAGAAAGTCTTCCTTCATTCTGCTGAGTGGCTAGTGAGTTTGAACCACAGACCTTCTGGTTAACAGTCAAATGCCTTAGGCACTGTGCCACCAGAGCTCCTATATGAAAAAAGTCTAGCCTTACACAGATATATGAACAGGGAACAGGGAAGAATATTTTAATTGTCTTTTCAGATAACTGTAGATATTCTTTGATACCATACCAAAACTTGGCAAGTATCAGTCTTAGTGTGGCATCTGAAATCTTATCAGTGAACGTTTGTACTCTGGTACATGGAAATCTATTGGTCTGTCTTGCCCTTCAGGAGCTCTGGTGGTACAGTAGGAGCTCTAGTGGTGTAGTGCCTAAGGCATTTGACTGCTAACCAGTAGGTTGGTGGTTCAAACCCACCAGCCGCTCTGTGGGAGGAAGACTGGCCAATCTACTTCTGTAAAGATTCACCGCCTCAGAAGCCCAAAGGGACTTGCTGTGCGTTGGAATTGACTCAATGGCAGTGAGTGGTTTTTTTTGGATCTTGCCATTTGATTGAATCTTTTTACCTGTAGTATGATTTTGTAACATCAGGCATTGATCATTTGGAAAATGTTGATTCACTGAGTTATGCAGATCTTCCAAGTGTTTATTTAGTTTACATTTCATTACATAATATCAGAAAGTCACATTTGTTCATATCACCACTGTGGTGGTTATGTTTGTGTGTCAGCTTGGCTGGGCCTGGTTGAGTGGCTGGGCAGCTGGTGGTAGTTATTCCCCATGATGAGACTGGCAGTCAGCACCATGGTGGGAACTACCATAAGCAGCTGAGTAGCTGTATTTGGGATGTGGTCTGCTTCCTGTATATAAAGAGAAGCCTTGGGAATGGTTTCTAGCTTATGGCAGCCTTGGACCCTGCACGTAGCCATGTCTTTGTTGAGCAGCCTGCCATGCTTTGCTGACCTTGGGACTTAAAATGGACTTGAATTAATAGCCTGCCATGTGGTTTGGTGACATCAGGACTGTACCTTTTTACACAACCTTGGGTCTTTCTGCCTCAGCAGCCAGCAGCTGAGTGAAGAAACGCCTCTAGCTCCAGTGGACCAGAAGCAGGAGGCAGAGCTGAACCCCAAGGTTGAGGGGCTTTCACCCAGCCCCTAGAGTCTGGCACTTGAACTTGGACTTAAAGCCTCAAAATTGTAAGAATAAACTCCTGTTTGTTTAAGCCATCCCATTTGTGGTATGTTTCCTGTCAGAGCGGCACTAGGTAACCAGAACAACCACCTATCTCATCCAACCAAGAAAAACACAAAACTCACAGCCATCAAGTTGACTCTGACTGATAGTGACCCCCACTGGGCTTATGAGTTGGTATATCTTTACAGAAGTAGATTCCCTCATCTTCCTTCCATGGAGCTGCTGGTGGGTTTGAACCACCACCCTTCTGTTGTTGTTGTTATGTGCCATTGAGTCATCTCTGACTCATAGTGACCCTTTCTCGGGTTTCTGAGGCAGTATCACTATGGAAGTAGATTGCCTGACCTTCCTTCCTTACCAGCTTTCTGATTAGCAGTCAAATGCCTTAGGCACTCCACCACCAGGGCACCTTATGTCATCCAAAGAAAATGGTTAACTTTTGGGAAGCTATTAGACTCAGGGTGGCAAGAACAAGTTTGCCAGAATTCCAGCTTTTGCTTGGAAACTTGAATTTTACCATCAACAAGTATAGTCAATTGTTTTTCTTGAAATGACAGGTTCATGTCATTCATTTTTGAGAAAATGTCTGCCAGATATCCAGGTCTTTATAACCATGATTTGTAAGTTGTTCATTCAAGTCAGAATGGTATTCCATAAAAAATGTGACTTACTCAGCTGCCAACTCAGACAATCACACAGGTTTTCTCCTGGGGCGACCGTGGTTCATTGATTAGTAGCAGAACTTCTTGGTCTGTGCGTCCCATCTCATCACACAGTGTTTGAAAAGGATCTGTACTCATGGGCTGAGATTGAATAAAATCAATAGTCACTGCTTCATTAAGAACATTCCTAAGTGAAACTGAGGTTTTGTTTGTTTTGCTGCAAGTGTGTGGCAGTGAACGAGGTAATGACTCCACGACGTAATGACCATCAGTACAGGTTGATAGAAGGGGCTTTACCTTTTGAATCATCATGACAATGTTCACACAGTGAAACAGATCACATTGTGGGATTGTTGTGTAAATACTTTTGACTTAGCAGTCTCTCTGATAGGGTTTTGAGGA